TGTTACCACTACGGAGTACAGTTTAGTCAGTAGGCTTGTTCCCACACAACGATGTGTCTATAGTAAAGCCACTGCAACACACACATATGTACTTTGGGTGGCTCAGATACTATCGCAGGGCAGGCTGGTGAACTGAGCTATCCACTCAGCTTCTCAGACAGGTTCTGTAGTCCACGCTGAGCTCTGTGTTGCAACAGTAGTGCTGCTAGCAGTCCCAAAGCTAGCTTGGGCATGCCTAAAGTAGTCACAGTGACTGCAGAGACATAATCTAGGGGTGTTTTGTTGCTATAGTGAAGCACCCCCCACTGTAGGCATGAGCTAAGACAGGCTGTACCTGCCCTGGCCCAAGGAGCTGTATGAGGAGTTGGTAGAGTTTCCATGACTAACTGGTGTCTACCTCCATTTCTAGAATATGTGAACCAGATGGAGAAATGCCTCTCACCTACCAAACACCCAAGGTCCCAGGTATCCACGCTGGAGAAGCCAAAGGGCCACTTGGGAAAGAATGGGCTGATCAAGGAACCAAAGAACCCCTTCCAGGGCAGCTTTGCCAATGCAGTGGAGAACCCAGAGTACCTAGCCCCACACAGCCTCCCCTTGGTCCCTGCATTCACACAGGCCTTTGACAACCCTTACTACTGGAACCAGGACCCTTCCAAAGCCAACCTTACTGAGCTGAGCTCCACAATGAACAGCTTTGCCCCAACACCAACGGCTGAGAACCCCGAGTACCTCGGCCTCACCGAGCCCATCACACGGCCCAAGGACACATTGGCTTAATGGCCACAGCTGGTCAATAGTCAGTGGAAAAAGTTCTTGCAGCCAAGGTATCACTGTATGAACAGTTCCGGCTAATCTATGCACAGGACTCCAGCGATGAATGCATCCATGGAGAACAGCATCGCGGCCCCTTAACTAATCACTCAAAAGCACCTCTTAAGTCTCCCTAAAATGAGATGTGGCTGGAGATGAACTGGAAGGACCTGAAAGGGCTGTTGATTCATCTCTAACACAACAAGCACCTGGTAGCAGGCTCAGTGCTACTTGCAACAAGTTTGTTTTCACTTTTTTATGCAACCAGATTCCTTTTGGCAGATACCTTAATGATTTGGACAAGGTGGGGGCCATATTCCCATCCCCCCTTTCTCCATGCTGGAATGTGCCAGACTGCTTCACTTCCATGGGCAACTTAGCTTGGAAATGCCCACAGCCAAGACAACGGTGGGGTTGAAACACAAGGACCTCAATCAGAGCAATCCTGATTGGATAAAATGCAACGTGGAGCCCTATAGGAACAGCAAACCACTTGCCTCTTCTCAAGAGGAAAGGAAAGGGAGGGAAAATGTCCTTTAACTCACCTTGGGTACCAGTAAGGTTGATGGTTACTCTTGCAGTCTGAACAGGATCACTAGTAGTTCATGTTTTGTTTTGGTTTTACACAGCTATGGAAAAAGCTTTAAGGGACTTGGTATAGAAAGAATGGGCGGGGGCAAGCTGAAACAAGGAGCACCTCTTCCCTGCCCCTAAACACCTCAGAACCCCAGCCTACAGAGCTAGGGTCAAGCATGTGCCGTGTACTGTAGCACAGAGCTCTCTCTCTCATCAAACCATCAAGAACAGCAAAGGAGGTGTTCCCAGTCTAAACCACTACTCCTACAGGTTCCAACCAGGGACAGCACTGCTCAGCTATCAAATTCAGCACATTCTGGAGAACAGGGTGGAAGTCGGAGGTAGCCGTGCTCTCTTGTTGTGGGGAGAACCTTATCAATGACCCATGCAGCTGGGAAGCCTTTTTCTGTCCAAACTTTATAAAATGGGGGAGGAGTTGGGGATGGGTGTTGGTTTGCTCTGATTCTTGCACTGAGAGCACAACATTAAGCTTGTCGTACTTGCCTTGACTTTCCATTAAGCCAATGGACTAAAAGCCAGGAAGGCCTCTAGCTTTTCCTGTGGTGGCACTGTTTCCACATGAATGTGATGGTTTCCTTCACTACTGTACCTGCAGTATTTATTTTTTTTAAATCAGCTGTCCCCAGTTTCCCCTCCAGATTCTTCATGAGGGCTACAGATCACATTAATGCACAATGATTAATCCATCTGCTCCCCGAAACTGGTCCGTCTCCTGACCCAACAAAAAGCCTTTCCCTTTAGAAAGCCATTCTGTCTGCATATGACAACCACTCAGATCTTCCACATGGTTGCTACTAAATTCAGACCTTTGCTAACTTGCATGTCTGGGTAAGATTTTCTCCTACAGAAGGTCAGGTGGAACTTGGGTTAAAACAGAGTTGTCTAACCTGCAGCCCAAGAAGGGTTAATTTACAGTCCACAGGCTCCCACTCCCGAACTCCGGCTGTAGCTGGGGTCTCCTGGCTCCCCAACTTTCTGCCTGCTCAGAAATTGGACTGCCTTCTGTTAACATATCCCCAATGTCTGTTTTGAACAAATGTTAGTATTGTACATTTTAGGTGACTGCTGGATTATTTTAAATCAATTGTATCAAAACTATTTGTATATTTGAGAATTGTACATTGTTTTTCTACTCTATTTGTCTAAGTGTTTTTTCCCCCCTTTTCTCCTATGAGTAGATGTTTCTACTGTTTGCTTTCTCTCTTCAACTGATGCTAAAAGCAGAAATATCAAGCATTTGGTGTCCACAGCAGATAATAATCCTTAGTACTGTGACAGCCCCTTCTTACAGAGAGCAGAGGAACATACTTACCCCTCATGGCTGTAAGTCTAGCTTGAGTCATTGGTAACACAGATGGATAATTGTATATGCTTCTGGGAAAGCCATACCTTAACTGACACTGAAACAGAATAATTAAACCCAGTATACCTACCAGTTGGAGGAGGGAGGGGGCCTCCACTCCTTGTCTTGTTCACAGGTGGGCAGTGGCTCCCAGGAGAGGTCAACTTCACTTGCAGTGCCTAAAAAAAAAAGACACCCGCCTTTCCTACTACTAGCTGAGAAGGTGAGTGACCCATAGCATTCATCAACCCAGAATGCGTTAATGAAAGGCTTGGTAAGAAGTGACAAGCTTCTCATTTTAACCTGATCTCTTGAGGGCAAACACTGTCTCTACCCACTCTGCCATGCCAGGGACCATGGTCACCAGCATTCGAGAGCAGGACGTCCAGACTTGCTGTCCTCTTCCTGAAGATGGAGCGTACACCAAAAGGGAAACTAAAGTGATTTTTTATGTCCGTTAAAGCAGAACCAGTGAAAATACTTGGCATCTCACAATTAACTAACCCATCTACCCTCAAAGCCATTTGGTTTTGGCTGTTTTCCTTCCCGAGAGGCTAACTCAATATAAAATCCTAGTTTCTCTGGTTCACCTTGCCAAGCTATATTGACATAAAAACTGCCTATGGCTCATCTCCACTAGGATTTTACAATGGATTAGCTATGGAGTCAACACATTTTTTTCCAGTGAACGTACTTATTTTACAATAGAGAACCTGAGGCAAGAGGCGATGTGACTTTCCCTAATTGCAGTTTCCCAGATGAAAATGCATTAAGTGCTAATTATTCATCTCTCATACAAAAGCAGGCACCAAAGCAAACTTGACTGCATGCATTTGTCTTGCTAATGGATCCTTCATATACAAATTTGTTGCAACCTTAAAAGTTCCCAAGGACCAGCTTGGCCTAGAGCAATGGTTCTCAACCTTTTCAGACTTGAAGCCCTCGATAGATTTGAGACGCCCCTTGAAAATACTGGCTCTAACTTTCACTAGATTTTTTACTCCAGAAAAATACCAGAGCAGTTCTTCTGTTGCAAAGAACTCAAAAAGAGCACACTTAATGAGAACATTTTTAACACCAAGCACTCCTATTTAAAAACACTTGGGTTTATCTTGTGAATCATGTTTGCACATCTAACGGTGGTTAAGGATCACTGGACTAGAGCAGTGGTGGTAAACCTTTCTGCCCTGGTGGGCCAGATGAGTGGTGCCCAGTCCATCCATGGACTGGTTGCAGTTAGTGGGCCCAATCCAGTGCGTGAAGTAGGCACCGTGCAGCCTGACCTGGTAGCGCAGAAAGCATTGGGATACAGAGCCTAGCCCCAACACAGCTACAGGGGGACAGGGGCATGGCGCAATTCCATCTCAGCTGTGCATGGGACGGAGACGTGGCTCAGTCCCAACCCAACCCTGCGGAGCTTAAGAATTTGGCAGAATGGGAGGGTGGCAGTATTAATTGTTAGGGGTGCACCAACCGATTTTTTGGGCCGATACCAATGGCTGATTTTTAAGGAGGCAGTGTGGCCAACATACAGCGTGCAGACAACATACAGCAAAGCTGGGTCATGGAAGCAGCACCAGCCTCTGGACACAGGTAAGTGTATGGGGAGTAGGGGTTGGAGGTCCATGAGACTGTCTGGAGGGCTGGGGTATGCATGTGTGTGTGTATGCACCTGCTGACATGGGATGGTGGCCAGGCACAGGGTTGTGGTGGGGCAGGGGTGGGGGGAAATCGCTTGGCCCTTCAGCAGGGGAAGGGAATGGAGGCGGGGGCAGTCCTCTGCCATGGGGAGCTCAGTGTTTGAGCTGGTGGCATGGGCCCAGTGCCTTGCACTTGCTGATTAGGAGGCGGGATGGGGGCAGCTGGGGGCTTCCTCCGGCAGGGCTGTGGGGGGGCAGAGGACTGTAGGTTGAGAGTGAGGGCACCCAGCATGGCCTGGGGGGGCAGGGGACTGTGGGTCAGGCACCAGCAGGGCCAGGGGGGTGCGGGTCAGGAAAAGCCATGGATCTTGATGAATGGGTCCCAGTACAAAAAATGTCGAGAACTGCTGGCCTAGAGCATCACACTTCAGGCAGCTCAAAGCTCCGACTTCAAATAAAAGGTGTGACCAATATTCACCCTAGGCACTACTGTAACCATAGGTAGAGTGCCAAAGCCCACTGTCCACCTCACCTAAAACAGTCAAAGAATCTGGTGTATGTACCACCCGCTTGACAGCTGCAGACGTCAAAGTGAAACGGAACACAAGTTTTACTCCGATTTGCATTTATTACTGGCTCTTTTTATACACAGTATATAATAAATAGAGTCACCCTCCCTTATCTCAAAGCATAAATTAGTTGCCGGGTAATCAGAATTTCATTGGCACCACCAGGTTCTTTAATGCTAGCATGTCTCTCAAGTCACTTAGCACTTTTATCTTGCTCATTCCCCCTGCTGACATTCAGTGTCAAAGGGCAAAGTCCTGACACAATAGCAATGTGAAAATTGGGTGTTAGAACAAAGAAGAAGGGCTCATTTTTGCAGACGCATATGGTCAATTAGAAGAGTCACTCACATAAGGTACCCTCAGGAGGAGAACAATTCAGAAAAGAATGTTTCCATCCAAAAAACCCTTACTGTCTAGTTGATCCTGCTTTAGCACTGGTTTAAACAGTGATGAAGAGGATTTTAATAATTAACTGTAGCGTTCAGAGTTTAAGAAAAATTAATTTCTTCTGTGGTTTAGTTTATGGGCAGATTTCTACCAACAGGCCTTCAAAGCTTCGGTCATTTCGCTGCAGAAGGCCCTAGACGGTCACCTTTATCTCCTACAGAAAGCAGCCCTTCATCAGACCCCAATGCCAGGCAAAGCTTTCTCACAGTGTCTACTACAACTTCTGTTGGGAGTTGGAGCGGGGCAGCATTCAGGTCTCTCTTAGGGACCCTCAAGCCATGAGGATTCTAAGGGAGGGTGGCAGTGAGCCAGGAAGTGTTCTCCTCATGTGCTCAAGAAGTAGGAGAATATCCTACTTGGATATTAAAGGAGGGTTGAAAAATAACTGATAGAGGTACAAAAAAATGCTGGGGCTGGGAGGAAGGAGGAGAAGCCCATACTCTCCTTCTCTCTGGGACTTGTATAGGTGTCTAAGGTGAGACAGGTTAACAGACAGGTTCCACTCATCGGTATCCAACACACTAAGAGCACTGCATCATAAGTTCTCAGGATCCATTTCCAATAATACCCACCCCCACAACCAACCTGTGAAACAGCTCCATTTATCACAAGGCTCTTTATACAGCATTAGCAATTCATGTTACCTTCAATTCTGTTCCATACATGACACTGCTCAGCGACAGAGCAAACTAATTAAGCCAGAAGACAGAAAAGGGAGAAGCAGCAAGATAATGAAATAAGAGTAGACAAGTGGGACTGAAGGTGATCAGAGCACAGGAATGGACAAGGGCAGTACTGCCAAGGCTACAGGATGACACATGGAGGACGACTGTTGGTGATTTTCTCTAAGGGTTCTCCATTCCTGGCTCTTCTTATTGCTTCAATCAGCTAAAAAAAAAAGATAAGAGTTGAAAGACATTAATCCATCCACCAAACACTCTTTTGCAGGCCTCTAGTGGATATGAATGATTGAACCTTGTCCTCACTCAGGGGTCAAGATTTGAAGGTACCCAGGAGGAACCTATGGGAACCATAAGCCCCTAGCAGGGAGACTATAAAACCCCTCCTACTTCCTGTAGGACTTACCCCAGCAATAATACCCCTGTGTGTACTTCTGGACCTCTGTCTCACTCCAGCCTGATTCCTGCCTTGCTACAGCCTCACAATAGTCTCTGCCCCTGCCTTGTCTGGACCTCCTGGCTCTCATCTTCCATCCACCCTGACCACAATACCACCTCAACCCTCAGCCAGATGACTTGGATTGCAACAGATACCTGGTATAACCCCTAGCCTGCCTACAGTAACTCATTAAGTGACCACCCATGGCCCAGTCAATCCTGACAGAAATGAGCTTTAATAAGACTCCAAGGAGAGTAGTAAAGCCCTAGTGTGATGAAATGCCTCTGAGAAACTGCAGGCTTCCAGAAACAGAAAGTTTCTCAGTCACAAAGGAATTGCTGTGAACACAAGAGTCATTACAGGCACTTTTGAAACAGGCTGATGCAAGGTGTAAACTAGGATCTGGACACTTACATCTTTCTCATATGGAAAGCCACCATTCTCTAGTTTGGAGAAGACAAGCTGCCCATTAATTTCAATTTCAAAGGCACCTTAAAAATATATAAAGAGAGATGTGACAATGCACAGACACTTCCAAAACACTTTTTAAAATGCATTACTCACTGTTATAATGTTGGATCAGACTTCAAAGAGAAGATAAAAAACATATCTAACAAGCTATATTACAAGCCTGCTCTGCACCCATCTTCATATATGATTTTTTTTAATTTAAAAGATCCTATTGTTGTATGAAAATTACCACACCTCACAACCTCCCCGCAAGGCAGACAAGTGTTACCATTGCTTTATGGAAGAGGAAACAGAAACATAAAAAGATGGGACAGAACACTCATCTTTAGAAACAGAACGCAGGAACCCAGCTTCAAACAAACAGTGTAGGATCAGCCCTCGCATCAGGTATCTAGAGCCCCAACAACTGCACTAAACTGGAAACTTCTTAACAACATCAAGTATCTTTACTCTCACGAGACCATCATCTCCAACAGCATGTCACCCATGATTTTATCAGTTATATGTTGAATAGAAACAAACTAGGCTGTATGTACGTAGGGATTATTACAATTATAGGCTGAATTCCAGGTTAGTAAAGGGCAAAAATGTTCTTTATGTACACATAGGTGTGTCCCCGACTATGCCTAGAGGATGCAGACTCCAGGTCATCTCTGGTCCAATAGCCACAACTGCCCTACCCCAGGCTCCCCAACACTTTCCCATATATACTACGTTCCTATCAACCCCAGTATTCACAGTGGGGTGCAGCCTATTTGTTGCATCATGGTAAAGCAGCCTCGGCCAACTAAGAAACTTTAAGCCTCCCTTAATTAGGGAGAGTACTGGAGACACAAGTGATTTTCTGGGGCAAAAAATTTTCAAACAGGGATGGGAGTGCAGGTCAAGGGTTCATAACGAGTGTTCCAAGGGGGGAGGCTGAGCAAAGCACACCAGCCAGCGACTGCTGCCTTGTGAACACGTTCAAGGAACCAGTGGATGCTGCCTTGTGAAACTCTGCCTGGAGATGTGCATTGATGAGAGACAGGAAAACCGCTTCCCCACACTGGCAGCCCATGTTCATTTTGGCATCAATAATGACTCCGAGATCCTTTACTGTCTCTGCGCTGATGAGAGGGGAGTTCCCCAGCCTGTAGGTATGCTGCTGGTTCTTCCTCCCCAGGTGCAGTACCTTGCACTTGTCAGTGTTGAAACTCGTCCTGTTCTCAGACGCCCACCCCTGTAACCTGTCTAGGTCTGATTGCAGCCTATTCCTCCCTTCTAGCGTGCCCACTTCTCCCCACATCTTAGTGTTGTCTGCGAATTTGAACAGGGTGCTTTTTACACCCCCATCCAAGTCGCTGATGAAGATGTTGAAAAGCACGGGCCCGAGGACCGAGCCCTGCAGAACCCCACTAACCACATCCCTCCAAGTCAAAAATGACCCATCCCCCACCACTCTCTGGGTGCAGCCCTCCAGCCAACTAGTGACCCATTTGACTGTGTAGGTGTCAATGCCACAGTCCCCTAGTTTTTTAACGAGAATGGGGTGAGAGACAGTGTTGAAGATCTTCCTAAAGTCCAGAAAGACTACGTCCACTGCTTCACCTGCGTCTAAGGATTTTGTGACCTGGTCATAGAAGGCCACCAGGTTGGTCTGACAGGACCTGCCTTTAATGAACCCATGTTGGTTGCCCCTAAGCATAATCTCCCTTGCTGGCCCCTCGTGGACATGCGCCAGGATAACTCTCTCAAAAGGTTACCCAGAACTGAGGTAAGCTTGACTGACCTATAGTTTCCTGGGTCCTCCTTCCTCCCTTTTTTGAAAATGAGAACCACATTGGCCCTTTTCCAGTCCTCTGGTACCTCTCCAGAGCACCATGAGTGCTCGTAAAACCGTGTCAGGGGTCCTGCAATGACCTCTGCTAATTCCCTCAGCACTCTGGGGTAGAGATCGTCAGGACCTGCTGATTTAAATACATCCAGACAAAACAGAAGTTCCCTGACTAGGTCCTCACTGACCCTAGGTCTGGGTGTGCCTCCCCTGGGACCTACGGGGGGTCCTGGTGGGGGAGGTGACCCAGTCCCTGCTCAGAAAAATGGAGGCAAAGACATTGTTAAATACTTTAGCTTTGCTGTCTGGTGCGACGACCAGATTTCCTAGCGTGTCCTGCAGAGGCCCCACATTACCTGGTAACTTCTTTTTACCCCCTATGTATTTAAAAAATGACTTCTTGTTGTCCTTGATCTAGGTAGCTTCTTGAGGAGGTGTGGAAGGGGCTGAACCCCTGCGCACTCAGAGCAGGTACATATCAGGGTCTCCCTGTGCTGGCAGAAGAGATAGGTGTTGGCAGTGTCCATGAAACGTGCCTGACACGTGGCCATGATGGCAGCTCTGTGTAGGAGCTGTCAACTGAGGTCCCTGATGGCTCGTATCACAGTGGGATACAAAAGCAGTGCTGAGGGCAGGCTGGTCTCAAACCAGGGAGCTGCACAGCCAATGAGAAATTCATCAGCATGGGACCAAAACTATGGCCTCCTTTATCCCCAAGAGATTTAACTATTTTTTCCCCAAATTATTTGCTGATAAACAAGACCCATGTGGTTACAAGGCTTTGACTGGCACACTGGCATCCGAGCTCTCCGGAGATCTTGCTGGAAAGTCGTACCTTTCCCCCCAAGCCTGGATTCGATGTCTATGTCTGGGTACTCTTCTTTCACTGCACTCGCCAGCTCCTGGTACGTCGACTCAAACCCACAGGGTTCACTGAGAACAAGGAAAGAGAACCCTGCTGTCAGGCAAAGAGGGTGGGGGGGGTGGGCACACAACACTGACAGCCTCTCTCTGTGAGCAGCACTAACACAGCCAGAGGTCCCACGGCACAGGCTGAATTATTACATGAGTGCCCTGTGGGCCCAGGCCCACTCTGAAACTACATGCCCCGCTCTGTTTCTGGAGAAGGGGCACTAAAGGTGTAACTGGGTACTTGTGACAACTGAAGAAGGGGGGGGGGGGGGGGGGGGGGGGGACTTCACAGGGCAATAACAACTGCTCCAACAGCCAAGGACAGGGCTTGGCCAACTGTGGGCCCCAGGCCAGATCTGCCCCAGAGCACTTGGGGGGTGGGGAATGACACATACACATACCAGAATCATAGGAAGTCAGGGCTGGAAGGGACCTCAGGAGATCCTTTAGTCCAACCTCCTGCCCAAAGCAGAACCACCCCCAACTAGATCATCCCAGCCAAGGCTTTGTCCAGCCGGGTTTTGAACACTTCCAAGGATGAGACTGCACCACACCTGTGGTTAACCTATTAGTGTTTTACTCCCCTCCTAGTGAGGAAATTCTTCCTAATATCTAACCTAAACCTCCCTTGCTGCAACTTGAAATCATTGCTCCTTGTTTTGCCATCTGTCACCATGGAGAACAGTCTAGCTCCATTCTCCTTGTAACCACTCTTCAGGTAGTTGAAGGCTCGGCTCCCCTCCCCTCCCCTCCCCTCCCCTCCCTCTTCAACTCAACTCAACTCAACTCAACTCAACTAGCTTCCTCAGTCTTTCCTCATAAGTCATGTGTCCCAGCCCCTAACCAATTTCTTAGTCCTCCCTTGGACTCTCTCCAATTTTTCCACATCCTTTCTATAGCAGGGCGGCTAAAACCAGACAGAGGACTCCAGATGTGGCCTCACCAGTGCTGAATAGAAGGGAATAATCACTTCCCTTGATCTGCTGGCAATGCTCCTACCAGGGCAGCCCAGTATGCTGTTAGCCTTCTTGACAACAAGGACACACTGACTGCTGGCTCAGAGCTGCGACCAAGCTGAGCCACTTACCCGCTCCTGCACGGCCCTCCCTGCTGTGCACTTGCAGCAGGGCCGGGGACAGGGGCATTTGCTGGGAGCCACCTCAGGCTAAGGAGGGGGGGGCGGGGCAGCATGCGGCCCCGGGGCGAGCAGAGCAGAAAGGCAGAGCAAGCGGGGAGCGGAGAGGGAGCAACTCCCTCCTGCGCCCCCGGCTTGGCTGGGCTGTCTCCCTCCACCCTATGACGTATGTCCTTCTAAGGCCACCGTACCATACCCCAGCCCACCCACAGTCGCGGCCCCTCCCGTAGGGGGGAGCCCTAGGCGGGGGGAGGGCGGCAACCCGGACCTCTTCGCAGCGGATCTCACCAGTACTCCACCACGATGCGGACCCCGCGCCCCGCGGCTGGAGGCGGCACTACCACCGGCTCGGCTCC